AAAAAAAAAAAAAAAAAAAAAAAGTAAAAAGGAGGCTGGGAATTATAACTCAGTGGAAGAGTGCTCAGATGCATGGACAAGGCCCTGGGTTCAGTCCTCAGTCCTGAAGGAACAACCTACGTGACAGCATGGTTGCAGCTGACCTGAGCTGGTTAACGGTACAGCGGAAGGGTAGTGCTACAGGTGCCTCTGATGTGACTGGCTAAGCCGAGTTTGGGGAAAGTAAGAAAAGCAGTGGGCAACTGTAGTAACTTGGTGAAAGCTCATGCTAGGGTGGTTGCTGCAAAATGGAGAGGGGATGAGAGCAGAGTTGCAGGTGGGTTAGATGAGCCTGCAAAGAGGTAAACAGAGGCCAGAGAGCACTTTCTGCAGACTGAGGAAGTTCAGGCAGTTGGGGGTTTTACATTTCAGGAATTTATCCAGGAGTTCCCACACACCCACCTCTTTAGTGCAAGGAAAACATCTAAGTATTCGAAGTAGAAAAAAAAAATGAGGAAAAAATCTACATCAAAGTTTGAAATCTGAGCTTTCAAAATACTTATCCAGCTGGATGTGGTCTTGTATATCCTTAATCCCAACACTCAGGAAGCTGAGGCAGGGAGATTTTGAGTTCAAGGCCTACAAGGGCTGCACAGTGAAACAGTAACAATGACAATAATAAGGAACAGACCTTCTCCAGACAGATGTCTGCTTTATGTCATACCACTTTGTGATTCTTTCTCATTCTCATGTAGATCCAGAAACAGCAAGGCCTAGCAGTTCCAAAATTACCACCACGCTGGGACTAGTTGTCCACGCTGCAGGTAAGTCAGGGTTGCAGTGAATGCTCTTGGGGGAGGGTGCTGAACAAAGCCCTCTAGCTTGAGCATGGCCCTGTTATCTGTGTTTACAAGCTAAGAACGATTTCTGTATTCTTTTTACATACACATATTAAACCATATATATGTATGTTGATATATATATATTTATTTATTTCAAATTTTAGTGGCCTCCTTTAATGTGATTTCTGTATTTTTGATACCTAAATACAAGGTGTAAGGTGGACATGGGGCACACACCTGTAATCCAAGCACTGAGAAAGTGGAGGCAGTAAGATCACAAATTCAAGATCAGTTTGAGCTACTTAGCGAGTTCAGGGTTAGCCAGAGCTATATATCCGGACCCTGTCCAAGAGTCTGGACTATAGCTGAGTGGAAAAACATCTGTCTAGTGTATGAATGGCTTGTGTTCAAGCCTCAGCACTACCAAACAGAAAGGATATTTCATGCCACTGGGAAACTATGCCATTTAAAGTAATACTGCTGCTGTTTGGAAGACAGCTGTACTCATATGTTTATATGCCACCTGTGGCTTGATTTGTACAGTAGTGACAAAGTTGAGTAGTTACAAGAGACCAGGTAGTTCCTGCCTGGGCTTGAAGTTTGCTGACCTCTGCCCTAAGATCTTTCTGGAGAAGAGCTTGGGCATTTCAGCACCAGACAGCTCTGCTGCCCCATGTAGGCTGAGCATTGCTGATGGTACTTGCTTTAGTACCACAACCCAAACCTAGACCTTGATGGTAGGATTCTGTCAGAACCAAATAAAGGCGTGTGAAAAGTAGCTCACTCCTAGCCTGCTGTTTTCTGCTTTCTAACAAAATTCACTGATGTCACCGATCCGGAGGCAGTGGGACCTGGGAGAATGGAGCCAATAAATGCAATAGACTCATGCAATAGCCAACTTTCTTCAGAGCCCCAGGCATTTTACTCTGAGGGTAAGAAAGGTTGCATGGGACTGGCGTGGTGACTCAGTTGTTTAGAGCATGTATTGCTCTTGCAGAGGAGCTGAGTTCAGTTCCCAGCACCCACAGCAGGCATTGCAATTACCTCCAACTCCAGCTCCAAGGGGATCTGATACCGTTGGTCCACACAAACACCTGGACACACTTACACACGTACACATAATCTAAAAATAATAAAAATATATCTTTTAAAAAAAGGAAAGGTCACATGAATAAAGTTCTCATGAATTCAAGCTGTATACTGTTGTAGGAGCGGCGGGCTATGTTCCTGGTACCCGGCCGCCCACACGGCTAGCTTTATACCCGAATAATTACATGGAAACTGTATTCTTTTAAACATTGCCTGGCCCATTAGTTCCAGCCTCTTATTGGCTAGCTCTTACATATTGATCTAACCCATTTCTAATAATCTGTGTAGCCCACGAGGTGGCTTACCAGGGAAGATCTTAACCTGCGGCTGTGTCGGGTGGGAGAATCATGGCGACTGCCTGACTCAGCTTCTTTCTGTTCTGTGTACTCCACCTACCTAATTTTCTGTCCTATCAGGCCAAGCAGTTTTTTTTATTAGTTAACCAATGAAAGCAACAGATAAGATACAAGACGCACCTCCATCAGTATACAATTATAAGGATAAGCCACATGGCAAAAGCATGTTTTTAGAGATATAATAAAGGATAAACATTTGAGAAGCAACAGCAAGCAACAATGAGCAATCTGAACTCACTCCTATCTACCACACTTGGGAAGAGCGCAAAAACTTTACATTCCAAGAACAATTTTGTGTTTGGAACCAACTGAGGTCACAAGACTTTTGTCCTGTTTTCTTGGCAGTATTCTCAAAGCACTCAGAATTCTCCTCATACAACTCCATTCCTAAACTGTGTTTCCACACACCCATTCAGCCAAAGTCCCTGTGCTGGCCAATTTTATGTCTGCTTGACACAACTGGAGTCCTCTGAAAGGAAGGAGCCTTTATTGAGAAAACGCCTCAGTAAGATCAAGCTGTAGGGCATTTTCTTAATTGGTGATTGATGAGAAGGGGCCAGCCCATTGTGGTGGTGCCATCCTTTGGCTGTTGGTCCTGGAAAGTAGGCTAAGAAAGCCTTGGGGAGCAAGCCAGTAAGCAGCACCCCTCCATGACCTCTAAATCCGCTCCTGCCTCCAGGTTCCAGTGCTGCTGGAGCTCCAGTGCTGACTAACGTTTTTGTTGTGTTGGTTGAACAGTGATGTGGAGGTGTAAGCTGAATAAACCCTTTCCTCTGCAAATTGCTTTGGTTATGGTGTTTCATCACAGAGATAGCAACCCAAACTAAGGCAGTCCCCATCCCACATGAATCATCTGTGTTGAGGCCTCAAGCCTTGAAGACAGAAAGACGCTTCCTTTGAGATTCTTTAGCACTACTATCGTTACAGTTTGACTCCTCAGTAGTTGTCTGTGTTTCATACTTTCTTTTTTTTTTTTTTCTGAGACGGGTTTCTCCATAGCTTTTTTTGGTTCCTGTTCTGGAACTAGACCAGGCTGGCCTCGAACTCACAGAGATCCGCCTGCCTCTGCCTCCCTAGTGCTGGGATTAAAGGTGTGCATGCACCACTGCCCGGCTTCATACTTTTTAACAATAAAAGCAGCTAACATTTGGACTACTCAGGGCCAGATGCTAAGCTCTTTTTGTATGTTCTTTCATTTTTCACCCTCACAAGGCCCTAAAAATGCATGTTTTGCCCCATCTTAAAGATGAAGTTCAGAGAGGTTGAGTAACTTCCCTAGAACCAAGTCCAACTCTGCCTGGCTTTGAAGCCCATGTACCCAGCCCTGCACTTCTGTCCTTCATAGCATCTTCTGTTTCCTTGTCTCCAAATTTAGCGGATGGTGTAGCTCTGGGAGCAGCAGCTTCTACTTCACAGACTAGCGTTCAGTTAATTGTGTTTGTGGCGATAATGCTACACAAGGTAAGCCAAGATTGGGTATTGAACATATTTGTAATTAAAGTTTGTCTTGGTCCTAGAAGTATTTCTGATATATGGGGTTTTATTTGTTTTGTTTTGTTTTTTGGTTGTTGGGTTTTTTTTTTTAGCTTTTAAAATGTATTTATTTTTATGTGTGTGTACATGGTCATACACATGTATGACCATTAGCGTGAAGTTTGTTTTCTCCTTTTACCTTTGACGGGTCCTGGGGTTTGAACTCAGGTCTCAAGGCCTTCGTAGAAAACACTTTGACTCATTGAAGGATCTTGATAGCCTTTTTTTTTTTTTAGTTTCTTAATTGCTATCTATTTGACAGAATTAAATATGTCTGCACATAGCTAATTTTTTTACTATTATTTTCTTAAAATCTTATTTGAAGGGCTTTATTCTTTGTATTATCATATACACAAAGGGATAAATTCTTACTGATTTTCATTTTTAAAAATATTTTATTATGTATTTTATGTATATGAGTGCTTTGTCTGCATATACCCCTGCATGCCAGAAGAGGGAACAGGATCCCATTATCATTGATTGTGAGCCACCATGTGGTTGCTGGGACTCAGGACTTTGAAAGGGCAGCCAGTGTTCTTAACCACCAAGCCATCTCTCAAGCCCTCTCTCTTTCTTTCTTTCTTTCTTTCTTTCTTTCTTTCTTTCTTTCTTCCTTCCTTCCTTCCTTCCTTCCTTCCTTCCTTTTTTCTTTCTTTCTTTTTCTCTTTTCTTTTTTGGTTTTTCGAGATAGGATTTCTCTGTTTTCTCTGTGTAACAGCCCTGGCTAGCTCTCACAAAGATCTGCTTATCTCTGTCTCCCTAGTGCTAGGATTAAAGGCGTGCACCACCACTACCTGGCTCTCAATTTCTATTTTTCATAGAATTTTTTTCACATAGCTGAAGAGATGGCTCAGTGGGTCAAAGTGCTTGCTGAGCAAGCCTGACAAGCCTAGTTCCCCAAAGTTGTCCTCTGGTCATCACACACACTGTGGTGCACAGGTGGCTACATTCACACACATTAATAATAAATAAGAATTTTAAAATTCCAAATAATTTTCTGTACAGTTCTACAAGATGCATATATATGGACACACACAGGCTAATCTTGTGAGAACACTGATTCCTAAAAGGCAAGCTTGCTCTTGGTGGGATACCTAGGTTTCTGTAATGAGTGTTCATATTCATGACACCGCATGTGTTTCTTGAGAGGGAAGCAAGCCCTATTTGTCAAGTGATAATAAGGGCTACTTTGTCATTTCCAGGCTCCAGCAGCATTTGGGCTGGTTTCCTTCCTGATCCATGCTGGCCTGGAGCGGAATCGAATTAGAAAGCACTTGCTGGTATTTGCATTGGCAGCACCAGCCATGTCCATGCTGACATACTTAGGATTAAGTAAGGTAAGTGTGAGCATCCCTTACTGTACGGTCATGTACCTAGTTCCCCACATAGATATAGATGTAAAGTCTGCAGCACGTGAACTAATGGGACTGAGAGCTATGACTGTGACCCAACACAAAACCATAAACTTACTGAAACATGATGCAGCCCTGATAGTTTCTTCTCAAATACAAGTATCTCTTCACTGACTGCTATGCTTCAGAACCTTCCACAGGAAGCATGGCAGTACATGCTGTGTCTGGGACAAGGTGTGAAGTTTTAACCAATGGCCTGGGTGCACAGATTTACTCTTTTTAATAGAAAAGACTGTGGCTGGCTGTATAAAGATTAGCAAATGATAACAGGTATGGTGGCACATGTCTGTAATCCCAGCACTTGGGAGACTGAGGCAGGAGAGTTCAAGCCTAGCCCAGGTTATATTATGAGACCTTGTCTTAAATAATCAAAAACAACAAACCCAGATTACTGAATGTTATGGAGTAGTACTTTAACTAGGCAAAGATGTTACATTTATTTATTCTGCATTTGCTTAACTATGTAAAGATGTGTTGCATTTGTTTCATCTTGCCTGCCTAAGGAACCTGATTTATCTAATAAAAAACTGAATGGCCAATAGCTAGACAGCAGAGGGATAGGCAGGGCTGGCAGGCAGAGAGATTAAGTAGGAGGAGGAATCTAGGTTGGGGGAGAAGAGAACAGGGAGAAAAGAGGGAGATGCCCCAGGCCAGCCTGGTAGCCAGCCAGCCAGCCACAGAAGCAGCAGGAGCAGGACATACAGATTGAAGGAAAAGTAAAAAGCCCCAAAGCAAAATGTAGATGATGAGAAACAGGTTAAATTTAAGTTGTAGGAGCTAGTGGGACAAGCATAAGATAATTAATAATGAGTCTCCATGTCATGATTTGGGGACTGCTGGTTCTAGAAAGCCTGCTACAAATGAATGGGATACATTTTCAGTGTTGTGACGGCAGCTATTGCGTACTTCTGTTGTGTTTTGTCTTTGAGACAGTATCTCTCTGTGTAGCCCTAACTGTCCTAGAATTCTTAATGTAGACAAGGTTTGCCTCAAACCCAGAGATCCGCCTGCCTCTGTTGCATCTTGATTAGTCTGTCTCAAGCACCTGGCCTGGTACACAGAGGATACTTATTAAATGTTAGAACTAATGAATTATGACTAAAATTCTGAGATTCATCTCAGACATAAGTGAAACCTCCTAACCAACACTTGAAAGTGGCTTTGAAAAGCAGCTGTTATTGATACAGCTTTCATTTCACAATGGTAAGAGTAAATTTTAAATGTTCTTCCTGCAAAAACACAAGATTAACTTGATTTATTTTATTATTTTCTCAAATCATAGTATCTGTATAATGAAAATTATGAATTTTAAATAAATTTTAAAACTGTGATTGCATGTTGTCACTGGTGTTCTCAGTCTTTTATTTGAGACCTCCCCTTGAATTTTCTATCTCAAGATGCCTCCACGTACCAAGCAGCACCAAGCATAAATAAATACTCAGATTTAGTTGGGACATCTTCCTGTCTCCAACTTTGATGTGACTTTTTTCCTCGTTCTCTCTTCTAATTCACAGAGCAGCAAAGAAGCCCTTTCAGAGGTCAATGCCACTGGAGTGGCCATGCTGTTCTCTGCCGGGACATTTCTTTATGTTGCCACCGTTCACGTCCTCCCTGAAGTGGGTGGAATGGGGCACAGCCACAAAGCTGACTCCACTGGAGGAAAAGGCCTCAGCCGCCTCGAGGTGGCCGCCCTGGTTCTGGGGTGCCTCATTCCACTCATCCTGTCAATAGGACACCAGCATTAACGTTCAGGTTCCAGCCTCAGTCCACGGCCATTGCCATCCAGGAAGAAGAGCAAGCGTGGGACGCTCCTCACTTCCTCAGTGTCTCGTCTCACCTTGCCCATCTCCACCCGTGTTCCTAGAGTCCGAGGGAGATGAGAGTCGATCGTGGAGAAGTGGAACAGCTCGTAGCAGGAACATTATAATCAGACAGAGACTTTGTGTTGTCTTTTAAAGGGACTTTGACATATTGAGTTTTGATGTTTCTCTTAACCCTATTCTCAGGGAAGATGGAATTTAGTTTTAAAGAAAAGTGGAGAACGTCATACAATGAAATAGTAATTATGACAATACAGTGTTCTGTAATTAAGCTAAAGTTTTTCCCCTTAGTGTAGAGGCTCTACCACTTTCTCCGTTGGTTTTTAATATGGGTCTCACCGTCTCTGACTGGTGCTGTAGCGTCTGTGCCACACACCTTGAGAGAAGGCAACACTCACCCTCTTGATGCTAAAGGTGATGGCAATTAATTTGAGGTTAGAGTAAGGAAAATAAGGGCAGAAGACACAAGCTGACTTGTACCTGAGAGCGATGTCCAGCAACAGATGTCTAGAGTCTTGAGCATCTCCTTTGCACGTGCCTCTCTAAACAGAGCCTGCCCTGCCAGTAGAGCAGTGAAGGTGGGGCTGGCTTTTGAAGAGGGTCCGGTGTCTTACAGCATTTTCCTGAAGTAGCCTTTGCAGGGTACCTGTCTGCAGCACATTCTTCCCGAGGAGCCAGGATCTGTTCAGGCACAGCTTTCCTTCAACAACAGTGTGATCACAGTGAATTAAGGGATGTTAAATTTTCCAGGAATTTGGCTAGTAACTGACATCTTTGTAGTAGCCTTTTATAAAGTAACACTATTACAAAGTATGTTGTCCTTTTCTGCTAAATCAGTGCTTCTCAACCTTCCTAATACTATGACCCTTTAATGCAGTTCCCCATGTTGTGCTGACCCCAACCATAAAATTATTTTCATTGCTACTTCATAACTGTAATTTTGCTACTGCTGTGAATTGTAATATAGATATCTGATATGCAACCCCTGTGGGGGTCACAAACCCACAGGCTGAGAACTGCTGTCTTTTCTTTTAGCAGCCGGCAGTCCCTCTGGCTGAGTCCTTGTCCGCTGCTGGCCTCCAGCTCCTATAATCATGTCCGTGTCCTCTCTCCCCGTGCTGTGCTCTTTCCTTCCCGCTACCTGTGTGCTGCTCAGCAGGACAACCACTTCTGAACCATGATGATAAAGAACCCTATTCTTCATTTCCTTCAAATGAGTTACCTTGGTGGCAAATACCACTTTTTCAAGCCCTTAAAAATGTCACCTCCTCATGTGTGCGTTGACATATCACTAATACTTTGATAATTTAAGCAGTGGAGACAGAGAAAGTATTCAACAAACGAAGGTGATTTTTCCATGTTTGCCAAAATCTGCCTAAACCCTGTTTTGTCAGATAAGTGTATAATACTGTATTAATTTATATTTTCTCTATCATGTCAAAACACTTTACATAAAGAGAGAGCCAAGACTAGTTTCTTCAGCGCAGTGGCTCCAGTCATTTGTATTTTTAGGACACTGCCAGCATGCCTGTGGTTTCCCTTTTCTCTCCTAAACTGTCACTGGGGCAGCAGCTGTGGAATTAAACTCGCAAGCCCTCTGCTGGCCACAGTGAAGAAAGTTAGCAGAAGTGCGGTTTTGTTTGGAGGCTGGTAGCCATTGCAGCCCACGTGAGGTGACAGAAGGCGTGCAGTGTGGGAGCTGGGTGACTCCTGATGAGGCACAAAAGGCTAACTTGGGAAAGGTCTGGGCTCATCAAGACCTTCCAAAGTACAGTTATCATGATTCTTTCTAGAAACTTTACTGTGTCAAGTAAATAGCCAATTTCTGTGTCTAGTTTGGTTTGAGTCGAAGTAACCTCTGTCATCTTACTACATGCAGTAGTCAGGGATTGTTGCTCTGGCCAGAGCCTCTTTCACTCAGCAGTGCCTTGCCATCTTGCTTCTAAGCTTGGCTAGAATATCTTGCTGGGTTGGGCCTTGGACTCTAGTAAGGACTGAACCATCAAACTGCTAAATTTGCCCCCCACCCCCGCCTCAGTGGTAATGAGCCTTCCAAAGCTAGGGCCCTTTGCAGGCCCTGAGCTGCTGCCTGGGAACCGCTCATCCCTTCCCTGGACAGCAGGCTCAAATAGCCATAGAACCTTAATAGGGCTCCAATGCATTTTAGGCAGCAGGAACCATGCCGTAGGGTAAGAGCCTCTGTCTAGGGAGGGAGAGGTTGCTCATGGGCAGGCAGTGACCTCAGAGAGGTCACCTTGATGTTCACTTTCCAACATGTTTCTGTGGTTTTCCTCCTCAAAACTCCCTTCGGAGGTGTGGATGCCTTAATGCGATAACACATTTGAACACATTGGTGATGCTTCGGCTGCTGCCGTGATTACCAGTGGAGTTATGGGCTACCAAAGAAGTACTACATAAAAAGCATGGGCCATCCTTCCTCATAACCAAAGCAGTCTTAATTACAATTGGAGCCCCTTTCTCTGGGAGACACGGATATACTTCAGATTCCAGGCATGCTGCTAAAAGGCAACTATAAGTTGAAAACACTGATCCACTCCCCTCACTGGGTCCCTGGTGTCGTCAGTCTCCGTGTCAGCAGAGCAGCGGTGTTCCTGTTTGATTCTGCTTTTCTGTCTGTGCTGTTGCCAGCGTGTGTCTTACAGGCAGACAGTCTGGCCTGGAATACCAGCAGTTGGAACAGTACTGAGGCAGTGTGTCTCCCCATTCCACCCTAGTCTTCAAATTTCTCAATTAAAGACAGCCAGGTCGGCCTGCTCTGGGGTTTTTGGATTATTAGAGAAAAGAAAAGGTGGATTATTAGAGAAAAGAAAAGGTGCCATTTCTTGTAGAAAGGGGAAAAAGATTAAAAAAAATAAACAAAAACAAAAAAACAGTCTGTCCCTGACTGGTTCTCTTTTTCAAGGGTTAGAACTAGGACAGACACACCAGCGACAGAGTGTGTTAAGCCCTGAAACTCATGGTAGTGAAGTTGTGATCATGGGAACTGTATGCCAACAGCACAAACCAGAGCCCCAGACTGCTGCAGCCCAGGGCCACACCCTCGGCAGCTGCTCTACAAGAGAGGCTTGCAGCAGCAGGTTTCTGCACAGTACAGATAGGCCTCGCCCCTGAAGACCACTGGTGGAGATACTGTACAATGACAACCTTTCTGTGCTCGAGACATTGCAGCTCAGCTCGGGAGCCCCGCAGGTGTGTGGCTGCAGGGACAGGACTGGACTGGCAGACCACGTAGTGCTGCTTTAGATGTGCTCAGTCCAGCACAGCTGCTGAACACAGACTGGCTTCGTCCGCTCTTTGTCTGGTGATGTCTTCCTGTAGGCCGGGAGTCTGAGGGTGTGGTGACATCACAGTTCTCCTGGTCTGGTGGCCTGAACAGTGATTTGAGATGTTCCCTTTTCTGGATCCTTTGTACACATAAACTCATTCCATGGATGGCTGCCTTATAATTTTGTCTCTTTCCACTTTAATTGTGAATGGTTTCAAAATTGCTGTTTTTTGATTTGTTTTATGATATTAAATTTTTATTAGTGCACATCTTATGTGAATGGTTCTTTATTTATACAGTAGCAATATTTGTGTTTGGCAACCAGGCCTGATGCAGATTTGAACAATCAAACAGGTGAGTAGTCAGGTTGGCTCAGCTGGTAAAGACACCTACTGCCAAGCCCAGTGCCCTGAGCTCAATCCTGAGACCCACATGGTGGAAGGAGAGAGCCAACTCCTATGAGTAACCTATGATCTCCACATGTGTACTGTGGTATGTGTGCCCCACCCCCATAAAAACAAAAATACAAATATTTTTAGGTATTGGTAGGTTGTAAAGGACAGAAGAAAGGTACCCTTTAGACAGAGGAGGAAAGAAGGGAAATGAACCCTGAATGCCACTGCTCCAAAAGACAAACCCAGTGGTAACTATCTCCTCCCTTGCTGCTCATTAGCAGATATTAATTTATGAAAGTAGCTTTTCCAAAAGAGAAGCAGGCAAGTGGATCATTATCTGCCCCTTCCAAAGGTTAAGGTTAATAAGCATATAAATGCTCTGATCAGTTGTGTCTGGAGAAAGATACTTCAATGGAATTGCTGACATTTGAATTAGGCATGGGGGCGGTCAGGCGCAGGCATGCCTCAGTCTGGAGGGCAGAGAACAACTTTCATGAGTTTCCTCCTCTGGGTTGATTCAGACTTGGGCTGCCAGGCTTGCTTGACAAGCCACAAGCACCTTTACCCACTGAGCGATCTCACTGGCACATGGAGTTGTTTTTTTAAATTGTATTTATTAGTAACATGTTTATTGTATTTATTAATGGCATGCCCATGCCTGTTGACTTTGCACTGTAGAGGCAGAAGCAGTTAGGCTGCCATGAATTCAAGATGGGCTAAGGAGTGAGACCCTGTCTCAGCAAAGCCAACCAAACAACAAAAACGACAGGCTCTGGGGATGTAGCTCAGTTGGTAGAATGCTTGTCTAGTATGCAAGAGACCCTGCATGTTCAGTTTCCAATACTGCATGCAGCAGGGATGGTGGCTAGTGCCTGTAATCCTAGCACTCAGGTAGAGGCAGGAGGGTCAGAAGTTCAGGGTCATTCTTCACTGCATAGTTCAAGGCCAGCCTGGTTTGCACGAGACCCCCCAGCTCAATAAATCATATATTTAATATATCATTTATAATATGTCATATATAATTTACAAAATATGGATTTCATTATGACATCTGCCTACAGATAATATGATGCACTTTAATCATATTAATCCCTTTATTACCCTCTGTTTTCCCTCCTCTCCCTTTTCTGCTGGCTCCTTCCCAAACCGTCTGCCTTCTACTTTCATGGTTTCTTTGTTGTTATTTTTATTCTTTTGATAGGGTCTCACTATGTAGTCGGAATCATCTGAAACTCACTGTGTAGACCAGGTCAGCCTTGGATTCGGAGGTCTGCCTCCTTTGGGGAATAAAGGCAGGGTCTGGGATTGAGGTGGGTGATCTTTTTTAAATTGAGAACAGAGCCGAGATAAGATGTAGTATTTGTTGTGTGGCTTATTGCACACAGCACAGTGATTTCCAGTTCCAACTGTTTCCCTGCAAAGGTCGTAATTTTGTTCCTTAGGACCAAATATTATTCCATCATGTATGCATGGTGTAGGAGTTCCTTCTGTTTCTGTGTTGCTTTCATTGGAGAATGAATAAAGAAACTGCCTTGGCCTAGGTGATAGGACAGAACTTAGGTAGGCAGAGTAGACAGAACTGAATGCTGGGAAGAAGGGCAGAGTGGCAGATGCCATGGATCTCCTGCCTGAGATGGATGCTGGTTAGACTCTTGCTGGCAAGCCACAGTCACAGATTAATAAAAATGGATTAAATTAAGATATAAGAATGAGCCAATAAGAAGTTAGAGCTAGTGGGCCAGGCAGTGTTAATTATTTCGAGTGTAAGATAGCCGGGTCTCCGGGACGACAAGCAGCCTGCTCCTCCTGTTACATATGCATACACATTTTCTTTAACCATTTATCTATTGATAAGTGGCTAAGCTGATTCCATATCTTGGTTCTTCTAACAATTGCCTACAGTGATATTTTGTTTATGTTTTAACAAATAAAGCTTGCCTGAAGATCAGAGTGCAGAGCTGAGTCACTAAAGGCCATGGAATGGTAGCACAAACCTTTAATCTCAGAACTCAGAAGACAAAGTGATCTCTGTTAGTTCAAGGCTACCCTCGTCTAGACAAGATTGAATCTGTCTAAAAGAGAAACAGAGATCACACAAAGGTGATCCCAGCATTTGGGATCCCTTACCTTTAATCCCAGCACTAGGGAGCTGGAGACAGGAGTGATATGGCTGGGTGGAGAGAGGAACTCAGTGCAGTCTGAGGTTTGGTGGAGACTGTCGGAGTCTGGAGCTGCAGTCTGAGGACAGGGCCACCCCTTCGGTCTGAGCATTGGTAGAGGTAAAAGAACTCTCTAGTGGCTGGTGCTCAACTTCTCTGATCTTCAGCGTTAACTCCTATATCTGACTCTGGGTTTTTATTATTAAGACCAATTAGAGTTCATGCTATGATCACCTCAGTAAGCATAGATGTGTATTCAGTATCACTGAGTTTAATTCCTTTGGCGCATGCCCCGGAGTGACACAATCATACTGTATCCTCCATACTGACTGACACGATGGCCTAGCTGGTTTGTATTCCCCCCGAGAGGATTTAAGGCTACCCTTTGGCCCATCTTTGCTAGAATTTGCCGTTTTCCCGGATGACAGTCATCTGACTGGCTCAGGTGAAATCTTGATGTTTAGACGAAATCAGTTTTTCGTGTCAAATATTTTTTCATGCATTTGTTGTCAATTTTTGAGTCTTTTAAGATGTTCAGTTCATTTGCTCATTCGTTGGTTACATTGTTTGATCTTTGGATACCTTTTTTAGTTTTTTATATATAATAGACACATTATCCTCCAGCAGCTGAATAGCCAACGACGAGGTTTTCTTCCACCTGTAGGCTGTCTCTTTATTCTGAATATTGTTTCTTTTGCTTTCAGAAACTTTTTTATTTGGTGCAATCCTGTGTGTTGGTTCCTACTACTATTTCATGAGGTATTGGAGGCCTGTTCCAAAAGCTGTTGCCTGTGCTTAGATCTCGGAGTTCAGCACTCTCCATGCCCATGACAGGGTTTCTCTAAGTAGCCCTGCATATCCTGGAACTCGCTTTATAGACCAGGCTAGCTTCAAACCCAGAGATCTGCCTGCCTCCGCCTCTCAAGTGCTAGGATTAAAGGTGTGCACCTGGCCCAGATAATTTCTTTTTTTTTTTTTTCCGAGACAGGGTTTCTCTGTGGTTTTGGAGCCTGTCCTGGAACTAGCTCTTGTAGACCAGGCTGGTCTCGAACTCACAGAGATCCGCCTGCCTCTGCCTCCCGAGTGCTGGGATTATAGGCTTGCGCCACCACCGCCCAGCTCCCCAGATAATTTCTTGAACTGGAATGCAGACTACTTCATATGGCAGCATGGTCTTGAAGGTAGTGCTGCTGGGCCCAGTAGAGTCCTGTCTGGATCTGTAGGTGCTCCAGACTCTAGCAAGCATCTCTTCATTAAGAAAGCCAGCTTTAAAAAATTAAATTAATAATAAAAATTTAAAAAGATAAAAACCAGCAAAGAGGACACACTACTTGTGGTCCCTGCCACCTCTTAGAGAAGTGGAATCTGAAGTCAGGGAGTTAGCATTGTACCCTGCCTCACTTCTGGGAGAGCGAAAGACGCTAGCCAAGTAACTAGCAGTCCTTACTTTGTGTTATTTCTTAGGAAGATCTGGAGTTTAAGGCCAGCCTTGACTACATGAGACCCTGCCAAGGGGAGAGAGGATTCAGAGGAATATAAAACTCTAGAGATAAGTGGGTCATATCATTGTCCCCTGCCAGGCGCGGTCCTGCCTGGTCACCGTATGGGTGATACATGGATGGAGTAGCTGGGGAGTTCGAGGTCTCTTCATTCTAGTGATTGGGAGATGTTCCCCTTCCCATGCCTGCATTCCTATCTTCCTGAATTACTGACCAGGAACTAAAGTCTCCCTTGTTCAGAGTCCTGCTTCATCCTGGCAGACTCACCCTGCCTCTGGCCTTTCCCCAATGGTCCTGTTCTCTGCTCCTGGGCTATTCAAAAAGGCATGTCCTAAGAGTGACTCTGCCCACCACCCTCCTCTGTGCATAGACCACTACCATTCTCATCAAAATGTGTGCATGAGTGCGTGCATGTGTGTGTGTGTGTGTGTATACTATTTTATTTTATGTGCGTGTTTTGTCTGCATGCTTATATGTGCACAGTGTGCTTGTATGGTACCCTCAGAGGGTTTGGATCCACTAACACCAAAGTTAGGGATGTTTGTGAACCATGTCAGTGCTGGGAATCAAACCCAGGTCCTCTGAAAGAGCAGCAAGTGTTTTTGACCACTAAGCCATCTCTCCTGGCTGTGGTTTAGCTGGATCTTCTGGGCTCAGGATAAAAGGTAGGGGCAGAAGAAGCATGCCTTTTTAAATTCTCTTCTGTTGCAGCCCTTGTCCTACAAGATTGGGTATGTTTAGCGGATTATCCTGAATGTTGGTCATAGATTTACTCAATACTTTGAGAATCAGAAATCAACCTTCTGGGTCTTGCACAAACATCCAAACTAATATGGCGCTGAGTATTGGAAGACCCTCTCCCCACTTAAGGCTGGGTCTCACTGTGTAGCCCAGGCTGGCCCTGAATTCGTGATTCACCTGCTTCAGCCTCCCAATTGCTGGGACTGCGATTTGCACCACCAAACCATGTGATAGGGCCTCCTTTTGATATGTGAGTTCTAGAGGGTTTCAAAGTAACTTGCCTTCAACCTTTTTATTGAGTGAAGCTGGAACTAACCACTGGTATCTAATCACTGCTATCTGGCCTGCTGAATTTTGTATTCAGTTCTAATGAGGGACCAACTTCCTGGCTCTCCCTCAGGGATGTTTTAGGAACATGTGAGATTATAACAATAAATGGCTTACAGCTTTACTAGCCAAACTCAACACATCTA